TCCACGAAAGCTTATGCTCTAATAAATTTGTTAGTCTCTAAGGTGCCACATGTACTCCTGTTCTTCTTTTTACCTCTTTTCTGTTCCTGATAGCATTTATTATGACACAACAAAACCAAAAGAATAGTTACTAAATGACATTGTGTGAAAGAGGCATGAACGACTGTGAGTCATTTTAGTGTTTTCCATTTGCAATTGTGTTTTAGGATTGGAAATAGGGTAAAATGTCCACCTAAGACAGGTGCAGTTTTATAATGCTCAGAAATGAATCACACTCTATCCCACATTGTGTCCAACTACACAAGTTTAAGAAAGACAACAAATTCCTCAGCCATGCATGGGAAATGAAATGTATGGGTATTGTCCGTCACACAATTTGATACTGCCTACTAAATAAAATTTGTGGATGATAATGGCCACCTTGTTGGAACATATGCCGAAATTAAGCACATTTTCTGATACAATTAATTGTAATGACAGTGACTCATATCTGATTAATTTTATAAATCTTCTGGTTTAAGTTTCAGTAAAGGCCAACATTCCTTTTCCTTATCTAATAATGTACTAGCAAAAATGCCTGTATTATTGCTTTGCACCAAAGTGACTTCGAAAGTACATTGAGTACAGTTTTTGACGTGTGGCACTTAAAAAGCACAAGGTTTATTCAAGGAAAAAGAAAATGCTTCTTCAATCAAGTAAACATCTTCACATTCTTGAAGGTGAATTTGTGGTTGCAAAATATAATTAAAGACATTAAAAAATATATTACAGCAAAAGATAGAATGAGGGTAATCAGTGATTTGTATTGGCAAATTCATCTGTCTGAACTCCTAATACAAATAACCACACTATTGTAGCAAGGTTCTGGTGTTTCTCAAAGTAATATCTTAATGCAAAAGTTATTAGTATTAATTCAAGAGCTCATGGTCTATCTGGTGACAAGGATAAGCATTATTTCTGGAATGTTAAATGTGTATCTCTCTCTCTCTCTCTCTCTTTGTTAACATCTATAATTAAAGTTTAGACTGGCAGAGGATAAAAGTAAAGCCACTGGCACATGCATTCCAAGATTAGAAAATTAATATTTGTATCTTGCAAAGAAATAGCCACAGAGAATAGTGTAGCCTTTTAAAGACTATATAGTAAGCTGTGTTCATGCAAGATATGATAAATCTTCTCACTGGTTATGATTATCGTCCTGATTCTAGTACTTTTACTCCAGGCTACTTATGCCACAAGTAGTCATTGAACTTAATAGGGACTAAATTACAGACAGATTCTATTCAAGATGAGTTAGGTTATCAGAATCTGCTTCCATGTATTTTTCAGTAATAGCATTAGAGTAACAAAATGCAGCTGAGCTGTGTAATGCGCACAAGACAGAACCAAGTGGTGGTATCTTTTCTTGAATGATATGCATTCATGTTTGAGCATTTCTCCCTATGCTTAGCAAAGGGGTTGTAAAAGAAAAATCTTGATGTTGTTCACTATTGTTGCATAATACAGTAATCACTGTGACCTTGGAGATGTAACTTTTTTGGCTGCCAGTCTGAGATTGTGGAATGAATTCCCCAAGGAAGTAGGGGCCATCACAAACCTCTCCTCTTTCTACTCTAAGTGCAAGGCACATTTCTTCAACCCTGTCTTCTCTAACATAAATATACATTTAAAAAAACAAACAAATGAGACACACACTGCACACACTTCTCTCCCTAGAGAGAGAAGGGGAGAACAAACAACATATGATAGATTTTAATCACATTGCTTAATGCACTACTGGAAGATGCTCAGATGCTACATTAATGACTGCAGTATAATAATGCCTTTATGAATAGAGTAGAATTAAAAAGAACAAGGAGTACTTGTGGCACCTTAGAGACTAACAAATGTATAGCTTTTGTGGGCTAAAACCCACTTCATCAAATGCAAGGAGTGGAAAATACAGTAGGAAGATGTATATAACAGTACATGAAAAGATGGGAGTTGCCTTACCAAGTGGGGGGTTAGTTCTAATGAGACAATTTAATTAAAGTGGGGTATTACCAACAGGATGAAAAATCACTTTTGTACTGGTAATCAGGTTGGCTCATTTCAAACAGTTGACAAGAAGGTGTGAGTAACAGTAGGGGGGAATTAGCATGGGGAAATTAGCTTTTAGTTTTTGTAGTGACCCATCCACTCCCAGTCTTTATTCAGGCCTAATTTGATGGTGTCCAGTTTGCAAATTAATTCCAG